CACAATACTTCTCTTGGCTTGAGGCTACTCTTGTTGTATCCTCGATCGGGAACTAGAGCAATCTTAGAAGCATATCTATTCCTAAACGGAGAATCTCTGAACCTTAGGCCATTATTTCTAGATGATGTTAAGGTAGTAACTCCAAAATCCTTGCACTTTCTTTGATGACCCGAATTCCAATCTGTCTTTTGGCACTCTGCTGAGCTGATATCAAAGACCATAAGGACAAAGGAACTCAATTTTAAAAATAAAAATGCACCAAAACCAACTTAAAAACACTTGCTAATCAAAGAGAATCCAAACTATCTAAACTCATATAAGTTAAGTTCAGAAGAGTATCTAAGCAACAACTTCCAAAGCCAGGATTCTTCTATCGAAAAGCTCAAGACTTTGAAAGAATTACGTATCCCAAGCTCACAGGAAACAGTTCTAATCTTAATTATCCGCAATGTAGATCCATGGAAACTATAACGGTGGAAACAAGAGCTAAACAATGGAGGACGACCACAATCCAATTCTCCACACTAAAAGCGACATTTTGATTCTCTAAAACTCAAGAAAAATCCCAATAAAGCGATTGATGGCATACCAATATCTAAACTCATATAAGTTAAGTTCACAAAGCAACAACTTCCAAACCCAAAAATTTCATCTCATAAAGCTCAAAACTTTGGAAGAGTTACATACACCATAACTCACAACAAACAGTAATAGTCACAAATTCAACTCTCCACACACTAAAGTGATCTTTAAATTATTACACTAAACCCCAATTAAGACCAATCCGAGAGCTTACCAGTATCGAACGGATTTGCAGCGAGAGCATTTTTTGGTGGAAACTTCCCCACAGACAGAGCAATCCTCTGTATCTGTATAAACCGGTATGTAATCACCGCGTTGGTCTCTGTCGAAACCTCCGGCGACGGCGGCGCCGATATCGAAGTACTTAGCGGCGGTGTTTCTGAGAAAGTAAAAGACACCGACGGCGAGGAAGAAGAGAGTGGCTATGAGACGCGTGAAGACAGAAAGATCCACCGGAAAACCAAACTCATGCATTTAATTTTGCAGAAAAAGAATCTTCTACCTTCTCGTAATCATCGATCTCTTATTTATACTTGCTTCTAGTTTTTTCTCTATCTTTTTATTTTGCAAGAATCTCACTTTTTTATTTCTTTTTTTGTTTTGTCTGTGTGTACCGCTTCTGATTAAGACAGTGTTTTCTGTTGGATTTGGGCCTTTTCCCAATGCATCTTCCATTTCACCTAAAAAAGATTGGACCTTTACGTTTTTTTGTTTCTTGTCTTTATCAGCTACGTTTTGTCTCATAATCTTTCTTTTGTTTCTTCTAAATGTCGATTACTTCATAATCTTTTTTTTTTCTTTTTCTTATTGATAACTTCATTTTCGTACAAACTAAAGTCGTATGAATGGTGTCAAAGAAATATTTAGTCGACATTTGGAAGATTCTTTTTTCATTTATACATAACTGATTTTTCATCTGTACCCATAAGATTTTTTTCTCATTTTTTTTGGGAAGGGGAAAGAAAATAAAAATGAATTATCGTGGCGATCAATACAATATTCAAGAGTCTTACGAAAGTGACCATGCTATTTGCGATAACAGATTTAAAAAAAAAACATTTTTATCTCCTAAATTTATTATAGTTCTTTAAGAAAAGTTAAATTTGGATACCGTTAAATTTGGATAAGCCAAATTAGTGATACCGTTTAGAAATTAATGGTGTATATAAAGAAGAAAAAATTGCCAAAAATGCCATTTATTTGGAATATGTTCAAAAAATATCATTTATTCAAAATTCCTATGAAAAATGCAACATATCACTGTTCACTCTCTCTCTTCTCTATCATGAAAAAGGTGGTGGAGAAAAACGGAGACAGTGGTGGTTGGTCAGATGGAGACGGTGGTGGTCAAAGACATCGACATCGATTGTGAATAAAGACGGTGTTGGCGGTTGTGGATAATAACAGAGACGGAGATGAAAACAACGGTGGACAAAAACAGAGACGACGGTTGTAGATAAAAGCGATTGTGAACAAAACCGGTGATAGAGAGGGCGTTTGTGGACAAAGTAGAGACGGATACGGTGGTGGACAAAAATGAA